CCTATCACTTGAGACCAATTTTCAATCAAAGCGAAATTTTGACACAACTTTCGATGATTTTAATGGTGGCCAACAAGGAGTTGAGCGTTCAGTCCATTTAGTCCTCTTACATAACATTCTATGTACACTCCTTATCCCTGAGCCAGAGTAGGCGTGGCATTTGAACATGGCACGGAATTGGTTACTCGTGGAATATTCCAGTCTGGGACAACTGTCATCTTGTTCTGTGTTGGACAGAGACACGACAACAATTGTGTCAAGATGAAAATATCTCACCAGAAGCATAGACACCTTCAGGTTAAGTTGAAACATGCAGCCACGCCTACCCGATCTCAGGGATTTCGAGTATATTTATAGATAAGAGAGCTGAGGCTTAGGCTGAAATTTCTGTGATCTAGGACGGAAATCCTATGGTAACTATAATTTGCAAACATTTAGAAGGAGGACCACCATTGACGGACGCCAAGTGCAACAGCAAACCTCTACGGAACATCATTATGGAGGTTAGTACTTCTGCTTAGATTAGGGCTCATTTATGGCTGACAAGACAGTACTCACAATCAACACCACAAAGATGGGGAGGGCGTGGCTACTTCACTTGAACATTGCGTAGGATGCGTTTTTCACGGAGTAGACAAATCCGGTCTTGTGACGGACAAAGACACAATTAGAAATCTCCCAAAACTCCAAAATCCCATTATAAGCGCAGCCGCCGTCGTGTTCAAATGAAGTACGCCACCACGCCTTCCCCATCTTCGGGATATGAACTGTATGTTGTACGGCATTCACTGACTGGCGTGTGCGAGGGAACGATTTTGAATGCTAACATAGTGTTTAGTGATGTAATTTTGAGGGGACGAAAACGGCAGCATTTTCGTGTTTCTCTCCCATCCCCTGTAATGCTTACGGTCCAGCGGCAAACCACGTGGATATAGAAGTGCAACTATGACATTGCTCCCAGGGCACATCGTTGGTTGGGGAATCCCCAACAGGGGGTCGTATTTGGCCGCCAGGAGAGGGGGTCATTTTTAGGCTGGGAAATATTTATTTTGATAGTTGATTTTTCTCGCTTTTAGGACGGAAAAGGGAGGGGTCTACCTTGTCAATTGTGGGAGGGACATCGTACTTACTTTTTGAGTTTGTAGAGACGGTGGTTGTTTCGTTTGTGAATTTCTTGTTTACTGTGCTATTTTACCACCCCTCCCCCTAACCGACGGTCCTCCGTTCGATGAAGGAGCGGACAGGAGGGCCGGGAGGAGTCGCACCATCCCCTTCCCCCAAAAAAAGGGTGGGGGGGTTGTACAGACTCGATCCCTGACCAATGATGTGCCCTTGCTCCGCGACTCGCCACACGCGACGTCAGCGGTGCGACATCGTGAGCTCATGGTAGAATCGCCCGCCTCTCGTTTCACATTGCCCTACTAAATGAGCATTTGCTAGGTCGCGTTCATACTTTACGTCGGGAGAGTGGGAGAAACCAGGAAATAGACATGTTGGAGAATGAGCCCCAAAGCGGAAAATGACTGCGTTCGCTAACGTTAACGATCAGTGCCAAGTGTACCCGGTACTAATACTATATTACTATGTGCATACCCTTATGTAAAGGTAATTTTCTGACAACGCGTGTAAAGACACCTTCTAAATGTGAATGAATAACAATAGTAGGTAGTAATAGTAACAAATAATAGTAAGTCGATATGGCTGTTTCCAGAATATTGTCAGAGAGGATGCGGTGGCATCAAAAAGAGCGATTCATGACACGGCAATCAAAATATACCCGGATTTCACTGTGGACGTCATCTGTTCAAGCACAGGTAATTCTTAATTACTCGGGACATTTAATTCTGAAAGCATACGGATTTCAAAAATGAAACACTTTGCGACCTTCAAAGCTGTGAGGTGCGCTACGCAGCTGTTAATTAATTGGAATCATAGAAGGACATCCCAGAAGGCACACGGCCTACCCCTTGAGTATGCGACAAGACAACTGTAATTCGGTGGGCGTGGCCAGCTATGCCGTCCGCCGCGTCCGTGCGTAAAGTAGTTGGCAGCCGCACATACGATGTCAACTTTTTTTCTCTAGTGGGACACCTGGGCAGGAGAGATCAAAGTTAGAGATTTTAGCTTTCCTTTCACTGTAAACATCCCATTCAAACTGCCGCGGACGTTGCCGCACGACGCGCGGTGTGCGACGCCGCGACAAATTGTGGTTCTCCTGACCGTGACTTACGGGTTTACCGACGCTTTTTACGGTAAGATCTCAAGACCATTCTAAAGAAAAATAGAATAATACCGAGCACTGGCGCCCTTTGAGGCCCTTGTGAAGCACTGGCCTGGTGGATAGTCAAGGTACAGTTGAAGATTAATTTGGAGGTTGCTGGGACTTTATGAAAAACTGGGAAACAGAGGTAAATGCTTATGAGGTGCCTCTTAAAGGACCACCTATTCCACCAATGATGACTGAGCTGATGCTCCGCCTAATAGGAACACGCTCCTAAATACTCTCCACAACAATTTCGAACTAGAAAGCATCTAACCATAAGACACAACTATAGAAATAATTTCCTTCAGCTTCCACTAAACCGTACTCTTGCAGGATTCACGTATTTGGTTTCGACGACAGAACACTGTGAGGCGCAAAAAGATAACGTCATTTGCTTTGTTTACAAGAGGCCTCTTCTACGATAGGGGAATCTGTTGTATACAGTTTAATAATAATAGTAATTGTTGTACAACATAATAAAGTTGAAGTTTTATGAATTCACAGTGTTATACATTCTTGCTACACATTAAAAGCCCCATTTGTTAGTTCAGATTGAACGAATAATACATGCAAATCAAACAGGATTAGAAATTCAGGAAAGCAGGCTGGATACAGCATTCCCGAGAATCCCGTGATATTAAATGTGTCGGCTCCGTGAACGCGGACAACTGGGCACACCGCAAACTGGTTTAGCTACCAAAGGTCAGTAGCTCCGGTATTAGGCCAAACGAGAGCGAACAGCTAGCCTTCCCAGTGGTCATAGGCTGCCTAGCCGAAAACCTAGTTCTGCCGTGTGCACTTCCTGCTCCTACGCGGCTAATGCCGTTTGGACTCCACGCAATTTTGGCAGCGAGCTCATTTAAAAGTGCCAAGGTCACCAAATCCGCTAAAAACTTGTATATAGGGGTAATTCAACATCCTGATTACGAGTATGACACTCATTCTTGGCGCTGGCGCCAAGAGAGGACACTACGATTACCTCCTGGGCTCAGCCTTAGCAGAGCGCAGGTAACCGTAGTGTCATCCATTAGCGCCAGCGCCAAAAATGAATGTCATATTCGTGATCAGGATGTTGAATTACCCCTATATACAAGTTTTTAGCGGATTTGGTGATCTTGCCACTTTTAAAATGAGCTCGGTGCCGAAATTGCCTGGAGTCTAAACGGCACTAGCCCTCCTACGCACTCAGTTCTACGCTTTGGGGTACCGTATCCCGCCTGTTTTTCTGAACAATTTAGTGCGAATCAAAGATTCCTAGCCACTAGCACATAATAAGGATCTATAGTAAGGCGCTGGCAAGATAAAGCGAATTCGCGGAGCACCGATTGTCTTACAGACACCCAAAACATCGAGGCTGCGTTCATACTTAGCGACGGCAAAATAAGAGAATCGGCAAATCGAAGTTTTAGGAAAATGGGCGTTCTCCAGAAGGTTGGATCGCTAGCGACCGGCGCCGATCGATACTCATCCACTCCCCTGGCGCGCCAAAACGTCTATTCGCTGATTCTCCTGTTCTCCTATACTCTTCGTTCAAAGAATGAACACAGCCCAACCCGGACAGGCTCAAAGCCTGGAAATGACACAAAACCGGAAGACACCAGTAGAGAGGGTGAGATTAGTAAAGCTATTGTAGATAAATACAGGAATCCAAGTGATCGTTGATAAAGTATTCAATGACGTCTTCACCACAGGACGGACATATCACATTACGATTCAATGCCACCTCGTCAGATGGGCCACTTTGAGAGGCGGTAGAAGCAGAGGGTGCCTGAGGAGTTGGACCACTTTCAAGTACAATAGGACAGTCAGCACTCCCAACAGTTGATGACGGGAGAGCGCGAGGCGTCGGCTTTGACGTTTCACCTCTGACCCCAAAATAAGTATCCAACATTGGTGTCCGCTGAGGTGATGTATTGCTCTTCTTGGATGGCGTAGTTTGTTTTACTTCTTTACCTGAAACAAAAGTTAGTGAAAGTTGTGATTAGCAGGAAGCATGCACTACATATAATAGAACGATGAAATACTGCTCAGAAAATATTTACCCTCTCCCCACCATGACCTGTAGAAAATTTCAAACAAGTAGCCGCTTGTAGCACTTCAACTTCCACTCCAAGCAACTGTTCGTCCTCAGCATCATTCAGTGTTCGAAGGCTATTTTCTTACGAATGATTCTCCAACAATGAAAACGATCTATGTCAGCGTGGTTCCCCGCAGCGTGGATCTCCCGACATATTAGGTTGTCCCAAAAGTTCTGGGACACTTTCAGACTTTTTTCGAATTAAGTTTATTCCAGTGGGAAGCAATTTTGATCAGCTATATATGGACCATTTTACATTTTGAATCGGATCACTTTTCAAAATCAACAATCCGGACACGATTTCGAATGCAAATCGGACACACCGCTTACAATTAGGGTGTTGATAACTAAGATCACGCTCGTAGTACTGTTGCAAGAAGCCGCCACTGATGCCCGCCACACTTCTCAGCGCGGACGGTTTCCGGAGAGCTTGCTGAAAATGCTCTACTTGAAGCTTTTTTTTTCGTGTTTTGCCCTTTGCACACACACTTCAACTGAAAAAGATTGATACCTATACAGATCTGACTCCGCCCACTTAACAATGAAGTTACGTAAGTTCTGAATTTTTATAACTTTTTTCGACGTAGTTCTTTTCACATCCAATCTTCACAAAACGAATAACCATGCACAGCACACCAGGCCCCGCCCCTCTGACCCCGCCCACTTGCTGTTTATCGGCGGATTCTTGGTTTTTTTTCCGGGCTTTTTTTAGGCTTTAGCGATTGGCTCCGCCCACCAATGGAAGCTCCGCCCACTTTGGGGAAGCCCCGCCACTTTTCAAAAATGATGCAAATCGGCGGCGTAGTTGTCCCGTACTAAGCAGATTACGGCCTTCCACGGCAGCAAGGATATAAAAAAAAAGGGCGCAAAAAACCGGAAAACACAAAGACAACTCTGTTCTGAGCGACGCAGAGGCCCGTAATCCGCCAGTACGGACACTTAGCCGCCGATTTCATCATATTTCGAAGCGTGGCGGGGCTTCTCCATATGGGTGGAGCTTCCATTGGTGGGGCGGCCAATCGCTAAAGCCTAAAAAAGCGAAAATCCGGAAGAAAAACCAAAATTCCGCGATAAACACAAGTGGGCGGGGTCAGAGGGGCGGGCCTGGTGTGCTGTGCATGGTTATTCGTTTTGTGAAGATTGGATGTGAAAAGAACTACGTCGAAAAAAGTTATAAAAATTCAGAACTTACGTTCATTGTTAAGTGGGCGGAGTCAGATCTGTATAGGTATCAATCTTTTTCAGTTGAAGTGCCTCGTGACTGCTCGCAAAGGGCAAAATCGAAAAAAAAAAGTCGAAGGAGCAGATTTCATGAAACATCTCGGAAAACCCTGTTCGCGGTGAGAAGTGGGCGGGATAATGGCGGGGCTTGCAACAGTACCTAGTGTGGTCTAGTTATCAACCACCTAATTGTAAGGGGTGTGTCCGATTTGATTTGAAAAGTGTCCGATTTGGTTTGAAAAGTGTCCGATTTGGTTTGAAAAGTGTCCGATTTGATTTGAAAAGTGTCCGATTTGGTTTGAAAAGTGTCCGATTTGATTTGAAAAGTGTCCGATTTGGTTTGAAAAGTGTCCGATTTGATTTGAAAAGTGTCCGATTTGGTTTGAAAAGTGATGCCGATATTGGCGTTGGAAGTGCCCGAGATTTGATTTGAAGTGTCCGATTTGGTTTGAAAAGTGTCCGATTTGGTTTGAAAAGTGTCCGATTTGGTTTGAAAAGTGTCCGATTTGATTTGAAAAGTGTCCGATTTGGTTAAATGGTATACTTATGTCAGCCTCACTGGCAGCTTGCTGCAATCACCTACGCAGATGTGTGCGTGCCTTGCTTCCAGGAGCCTTTCGTTTACTGTGTCCGCCGAGAAGGCAAGCTGGCTCATTTTTGAGGTTACTACTCGAAAATCGTATTTTTTACCAAGAAGATGACCGCTGTGGGATTAGTTTAGATGGCGATCGGAAAGAGCTAAGTCAGGGCTACACGAAGACTGTGGTGGAATTCCCCAGCTAAGCTTCGGGATCTCGAGCAGTGTCGTTTTCCAAATGTTTGACCCTGAGGTGTGGTGGAGTAGGCAAACATTGCTCGGTTTTGGGACGCAAGACTGGTTGATAAGAATGTCACCCCACTTGTGCAGTTGATTAATAGGACTCCCTGGTTACATAGCGTTGGACAGGATTGGGAATTCCGTTAGCGACGAGCGGAGAAAGACTTCAGCACTTTTCTATGGGAGCAAGGCCTTCTCTCATTTGTGCTTTGGGACCAGTCAAGTGTAAGGACTAGGTAGCAAGTTGATTCGTACGAATTGGTTTTAATCAAGGAACACAGTAGGTCCAAATCCAAGCAGTGCTTCTCTTTGGAGAAGTTTTTCACGCCGATAGAGTCAATAACGCGGAACAATTGAGCGCGTTCAGCGGTACTCAGGGAACGCTAACATCTAAAATCCCAGCGTTGTGGCTTGGTAGCGATTCATATAGCGAAGTGTGTCGAAAATGATGAATTTCAATTACCGTTTTTCATATGAGAACAGCGACTGCGAGGGACGGTGAAGAAGCTGTGGAATGCTTACCTCTATTGTCACCAGTCCCTTCCATATGACCACAACGGGATCTGCGAAGTGGCTTTCGGAATAATCCATACGGAGATTCAAAAAAGTGTCCCAGAACTTTTGGGACAACCTAAGTACATCCTTTTCCCGCTGGCTCCGCTACGCATATACGACGCGAAAGAGACGGCTCGACTCTTACAAGGGCAGCTAATCCCATCGAAGAGATCTACGCTGGTTCGGCTTGACTGCCTATTGTTTTGTTGGGAATCGGTGTTACAGCGACGTACAAACTGTACTTAGGTTGCCGAGCTGAGATGAAGTTAATGATAGTGCAGCTGTACTCATTGAGGTCAAAGCCGAATGATGCACATGTGATGCCTTCTGAAACACGGAAAGCATCGATGGGAGAATTTCATCATGAAGATGAGTTTGGTCGCTAAGAGATCGTGTTCGAACTATTTACACTATACATGATAGATGATTTCGTACACTATACCACTCTGGCTTGACAGCCTCTCTAGAAAACCTTGGAAAACTGCGGAGACAGAAAGAATGGTTTAGGTGAGGCAAACGGGCTAGCGGGAGCTGAACCAGAATATGTAAACTTCGGCAGGGTATCCACCTGCACACCGGCCACACCAAGTATCACAACGCTGCCATTCCGTCTACGCCGCCGTTCCTCTGCGTCGCTTATTTGGCAGAGTGTGGATCTTCCGACATTCACCCCTTGTCGTCGTGTCATAACCTATAAAGCGGGGCAGACCCCTGGTTACACAGGGCGAATTCCCGCAATTTGGCGTGTTCTTGAACCACCACCGCCCCTTAATATCGATGCTGCCACGATTCTTTGGAAAGAAAACGGAAATTACCAGACACAAGAGAATTTCTCGAGATAGTCTGGAAACCCGAATAAAGCATCAGATACAAAAGGAGAAAAATACTGGAGTGCTAAGCGGGGGGGCTACGTCTGATGCCTGTAGTTGTTGTACAGACTGCGAGAAGAAATGATCGTTTCGAAAGCTTTCCTCACTAAGGCTGCGTTTATACTTTGCGGCAGCGTAGCGTAGCGCTTCCAGCGTACGCCAGCGGCAGTGCCGAAGAGAGGATGCATATCGATCTAGCTTCACAGGTCGCCAGCGGCACGCTAGCGCGCAAGCGTTTCTCCAGCGTTTCACCAGCGTTTTGCTAGCGTTTGCAGCGGCAGGGGAGTAGAGACTATGGGAGAGCTGGAGGGTAAACACATCGATTGCGCGTCTCTCACTCGCCCTTAGTCTCTACAATGCACATCGCTTCTCCGACGGCACACATAGTCGATTCTACAATACACGTCGATTCCGCGTCTCTCACGGCCACATAGTCTCTACTCCCTGCCGCTGCAAGCGCTAGCAAAACGCTGGTGCCGCTGGAGAAACGCTCGAGAAACGCTGGTGAAGCTAGATCGATAGCTATGCTTCCCGTGCCCTCGCTACGCCAGCGTGCCGCTGGTGACGCTGTGAAGTAGATCGATATGCCACTCTCTCGGCCTGCCGCTGCGTTACGCTGGAAAGTGCTACGCTACGCTTGCTTCGAAAGGTTAAAAGCGGCAGGGCACCTAGATCTGCACACAGTCTGTAACCTCCACCCCGAATAACGTCTGCGGCGGATGTTTTGGGAACGCTGTAAGGAGGTGCGACATCTGCAATGCATTCGAGAATATTAGCAAAAAAAATAGTATTGTACCTCTGTTGACTTTGCTTTTCCTGTCGTTCAGAGAAGAAGACGAAGGACCCGGATCACTTGATGTAGAAGGTGAAGTCTCTATCCGATTCAAAGTTCCACATGTCTGCCCTTTTCCCACACTGGCGAAATACCGATCGAGCGAGTTGACCGAAACCGGCTTTTTCTCGGGTATTTCTTTCTGCAAAGGGAACTAGATCACTGCAATTTATTTGCCCTTACAAGTACCACCAAAGCCCCATAAGTAAGTCAAACAACGCCTTATTGTTGATAAGAAATCAGATTACGGCGGCGGTCAGGGAGGGTGAGTAAGACCGCCGTGGCATGCCCTTTACCAACCAGTGATTGCCAGTGATTCCCATTCAGCGGAAAAAACCACTGTAGAAAAGACGTGTCCTTCCTGTCTCCTGACAGCCGCCCGACTGCATGCGCAATGACACAGTACCTCATCCGGCTTCTTCCTCTTTCTTTGGCCGTAACCATCAGGCTCCTTTATCTTTTGGAAGGTGCCTAGAACAAGACAATTCTAAGAAACATCAAGATAAGCCACGAGAGGGGCTACTTTAAATTTCTCCAGTCGCCAAGCGAAATCCTATGCAGGAGCTTGGCGTTTAGTAACGGCGTAACTTTCCACGGCGATGATCGTCACCTTCAGCACCTCAGTCCACACACTGCAAGAGCTTAGAACTGCCGATGAATTAGTTTGTTAGTGAGGGAAGCAGAGGGCAGACTAATATTAGACTTGTTCTATTATACTACCAACTTACTGAGCAGGAATTTTTCGCTCGTCCGGTAGCGAAGAGGAGAAGATGGTTGTCAACCAGACGTGCTCTCGCCGCGAGGGTCCAGGGGTATTTTCACGAGGCATCTACCAGTCCAGTAGTTGGAGGGAGAAGGTAAAGGAGGAGGGATCAGAGAAGGAAGGAAGGAAAAGAAGGAAGGAGGAAGAAAAAATGAAAGAGAGGCTTCCCGGTTGACAAGTGCCCTGAAACGGGCACAGCCCTGAGATCGCGGATCGGTTCTCGCCCAGGTCAACCAAGCCGTCTACCCTCCTAGAACGGTAAACTGGCACCATATTCGTGAGGGAAGACAAGAACACTGACTGAGGCCACATCGCAATAAACCACTACGATCCTGAATAGAGATAGATGCCGCATCCCGTCAAAGGGATCAATTAACGGCGAAAACTTTATCGTATATCCTTTTATAGTGGTGAAATGGGCGTATGAGGACCATGATACGATCAAAACGTTAGGCCATTACTAAAAATTTTCATCTTGCAACCTCGCAGACACAAAAAAGTATTAAAACTACCAACAATGCCGAGGTTCTGCGGGAAAAGAAGTCGAAGACTGATTAGGCGTGAAAGACTTACCATTGCAGCTTGCTTTATGGGAATTCCACCATAGATCGTTTGGACCAGGCGCACGATTCGAGGACCGCTTCACATAGCCAAAGAATGGCCGTCGGTCGCGACATGGACCATCACATCTAGGATATATTTTCTTTAGCGTTGAAATAAAACTAAAGTAGGCAAATTTAAGTGGGAAAATTTTAACTCACTGAAAATAGAAGAGAGGAAAATATCTGCAAAAAACAATGTACCTCCAAATATGCTGCTTATAGACATTCACTTCATCGTGGAACGAATGATAGATGGTTATATTTGTGTTTGCCATTCTATTGATCCTGCAAACAGAAGACCTTTGAAGATAAAAAAAGAAGGATTGAGTAGCTGGAGGGGCGGGACACATGGTGGCGTGACTTAGCCTCTTTGTCGCGTCCTCTCACAGAATCAGTAATCCTTTTTTCCAGACCTTAGCTTTAGAGCGCCAAACACTCCAGATGTACGCGCTCCGGATATCGCCTAACCTTTTCTAGCTATAGCCCCCCGAAGAAGAGTGTGTCAAAATAGGGTTCCAAAGGACTTCAGGGCAGAATCCGCAACTAACCAACGCGCCAACGTGCAGAAGCTCTACCCTGGACCAAGTATCGCGATCCACAACGCAAAGAATATTCCAATTTCTCGGCTTGAAACAGACTGATAACAGCGCCAAAGCTCTGCTACGCTTTACCGTATTCGTCTTTTCGTTGATAATCTCGGACCTTGTAATCCATTTCTACCACGTATAGCGGGGATCTGTTTTTTGCCATTTGTTCTTACAATGCTTGAAATCAGCAGTGTCTTGCCATCACTTTTTTGATTGTTCTTTCCGCTTTCTTCCTCACTGCTGAGTTACTCAGCACTTTGGCATTCGTATCTAAACGCAAATACCCATGAATGGCAATTGCGTGTTCTGCTACTAAGCCCGAGCTACTGTTCTTTAACGAATAGAACAAAAGAGAAAAGAAGAGTGAAAGATGTAAAAGCAAAGTGACCTGTACATGTGGAACTGGAACTCGGGCCCGTGACCATCTCTATCACGATTTCGCTGCGTTACGAAGAGGAAAGCATGTATCATTTCATGCTGGAATAAGGAATTCTCGCAAGAAAGATTGGAAGTTCTCCACGAGAAAGAACGAAGGTCAAGTGACTAACGAAAAGATGTAAACTAATACAAAACACCACAGCGCTGAGTTAACTTGGGAGATAAAGCCGATGCGCAGCGCCGCTGTCATTTCAAAGATAGACTCTTCTAAACCACACCCCTCTAATCATAAAGCGGGTGACATCACTGGTTCCTAGTCGCGGCGAGCGCGGCAAAGGAGGCGTAGCCAGTGGAGCCGTTCACGCTTCTAACCAGGGAAATCCACCAACTTAGCATGGGACTATGGAGACCTGGGTAGATCGATAGAGTCTATAAGGTTATTTACAAATATAGATAGCAAAACTGCAACCTGCATTTCACAAGCAACTTATGAGCAGGTAAAGTTTGTAATAGAAGTGGCAGTGAGTGGGACTTCGTAGATCGCATACGTGAATGAGTCGTGGTGGTTCAAATGGGAAGGTTCGACGTTCGACCGACTCGATCGCATCGTAATGCGTTACCAGCTCACCACCAAGCCTCACCCTACTGCACCATTACAAACTTTACCTACTCATAAGTCGCTTATGAAATGCAGGTTGCAGTTTTGCTATCTATATTTATATAACCTTATAGACTATCGATCTACCCGGGTCTCTATTCAAAGTTCCATGGTAATTGTCCTGTAAGACTCAAACGATACAGCGCGACAGTGCTGCATTGTTACAAGCCAATCGTTAGGAAGTACTGTACGTGTTTACATACGGCACAGCGACTTATGCTGTAGATTTACATTTTTACAACAGAACAGATCAGGATCTCCAATATGGGACATATTTGGTGGCTGATGGTCGCTGGAGGTGACGAAAGGTGTATCGCTGAAAGTTTTCTTTTTTGATTGTCGTTCCCATTTCTGCGCGAGCTATGTAGCCACTGACCCCCCCGCCCCTTCCTAGCCCGCGGCTGCGCAAACTACTGTCATAAGGGCTGATCTCGGGGCTTGTCTACGCACATCTTTCACCTAACAGCAAGCGTTTGGGGTTCGAATGTGGTCATTGTAGGAGGATGTAGAGTAGATCGCGCCGGAGAGAATTCTGGGGGGGGGGAAGGGTCGCATTTAGCAAAACACCTCCCAAACCCGGATCTTCACAAAGCGATTGTCGATTATTGTCATGCACTGCTCCCCTCTGCAATTAGTATTAGCAACAGCAGAGACAACCCAACCGGCACATTTCGCCGACTATCGTTGTTATGTTTTCTGTGAGGCATTCTAGGAGAAACATTTAGTGTTGGAAAGGGGGTCGTAAATCTCTTGCGTGGGGGTCGTACTACATCCTCCGCGACACACTCGCATACATCACAATGAAATGCTCAGCTAAGCCATCGTGATGCGGAGGGAATGTCAGTACGACCCCACCCTAAGAGAGTAGGACCCCTCCTCCCAACACTACGTCATCCATTCCAACATTTTCCAGTTTTTTTACCCAAAAATTTTGCTGTCGAGCGAAGGGGAGGGGGGTAGTACACATGAAACAGGAAAAACCACGTGAAAAGTCAACAACTGGGAGAATTTAACGCGGCAAATTTCACTCGAACACTATCCCTCAGTCCAACGAAAACAGATACGACCCCCGCTCCCAGCGAAACGTAATCGACCCCCTAATCTATGTTTCGTTTACGCTGGGTTTTTACACTTATGATACTTTGTTCAACACAACGATGCTGTAACCCTGCCGCAAATCATCGCACAAGACATCTATAGGCATGATTTTCTGTCTAAACCCCATTCCGGTGCCGGCAGTAAGAATGTATGCATAACGTACAACCGTAGATATGATGTGAGAAAGTTTTTTCTTGACACGTGGCGACATTGCGTCCCACTGCTGGGACGCACCTTTTTTGCCGCGTGGGACATTGCGTCCCACTGCTGGGATGCGGCATGGGTAAAAAACCAATTTAAAACGTTTCAAATTTTCAACAGCTACATATTGTACAGGAAGGCATTGTAGAATATACAGTAGCTGTAAAACTAGCAGTTGTATCATTGGGAGTATTTTACGGAGGATACAAAGGAAAGTGATTCCTTAGGGGAAAAAGGTATTTTGGAAAAAAATAGAGCTCAAGCTCCAACATAGCTAACGTAATAAGGTAACTTTCTACAATAGCAGATCTGGATCGAATCCAATTTACTGCCTCTGGCGCCAAAAAATTCCTTTTTTGCGCCCTCTTTCCCACGCTCCGCGTGTATGGGGCGGGAGTATTCCACAAAAATTAAGGGTTTACCTTGAAAGTAAAAAAAACAGCAAGTTTAACTAGCTTCTGCATTGATTACTAGTCCTTCTGCAAGTGTTTTGGTGTGTAAACGCCCTAGCATTCATGCGCATTCCTCAAAAATAGGGAAAAATTGCTTCGTCCCGCGGCCCGCACGCGAACAAGGCGCCCGTGTCGCCAACGTGTTTAATAGAACTTACTAGCAATGTTCTAATAAGATCCTTTGCGAGGACGATGTTTAGGAGCGGGAGGCTGAGCCGAATTGAGCACATGCCCCCACGAGTCTCGTAAGAACATACACCAGCGCATCTGAATCGCTAAACTTAGCTGCAGGTTTTTGGAATAGAAGGAGCTACGAACTCACGCGAACATCCGCGGACTCCATTTTACCTCACATCGGCCTAAAGCGCCTTCGAAGAACCGGTCGTTGAAATCGATGAAAAGAAGATGGATGTCAGGACAAGGGTCCGAAAGTTCGAGAGCAGGATCTACCAAATCATATAGCATTGAAACGCTTCCCAGCGTACTGTTGCACTTCTCCTGGTACGATACCTGCAAGCACAACATTTCGCTTTCCTGGCAGTACGATAAGCTAGAAGAGAAAACACAATTTTCTCACGCTACCGCAACAAAACAGTAATTATCGAAAGTGCTTTGCCTAACAATGAATCTGCTCTACGTGGTGACAATGATTGGTCGGATTATAAGGGGTTTTTACCGCTGTGAGCTTCGGGTACTTACTTAGTCTGGACGGCAATCACTGCTGACAGGTACGAAGGAATGACTGTGAATGCTATTGCAGTCCAGGGGGTAGGAGCCGGGCGGGGGTGCTACATGCCGCGCCTCTTTTCCCCTCCCCTTCCCTAATGCTTATATTGGGCTGGTTCCACGTGTAAGGACGGCACATCCAAAAATGTAGAAGTGAGCAAACCAGACCAATCCTAACGCTCTCGCTTTGCTCGCTTCCAATCGCCAGTGCTATAACTAATCACGGCGTTGAAACTACAAACTGTACTCCTACTTACACTACTTCACGCTTGTATGGAAACAGTTCGGCACGATGAGCGCAGAAGACGCGACGAACCTCAAGAAACGAGAGAAAAGCAACCGCGTGGAATTGTGCGCAATGTGTGCAATGCAGAACTCGCAGATAGACGTCTAGCTGAAATTTTTTTGAATTTTTTTCCCATTCGCACAAGACGTCAGGAAATTGTGCTTGTGCTCGACATGGTGATACTTCAGCACTTCTTTGTTACCTGGACGTAAAGTCCGTCACATCATTATGGCTGCTAACTCTTCGAAATCGCTTGAGAATCACGCGATTCTCGGGACGGCCAAGTTGCGGCAGGCGCTTACCAAAACTCGTAAAGTGAATACTCTTATGAACGCAGTGAAGAGATTTCAAGATGATAATGGCATCAAGGTAGGTGTGTTCAACCAACAACAAGCTGAGAGCTATTTCTATCGTTTTTTATTTCATTCAGATGGATGCGCTTGCACCTGCTCTGCAGCTATTAGATCTACATAAGATTAGGCGACGAGATTTTTACGAGCAGGTATGATATCTTCTAGCGGTCTTTTCTTTTCCATTACAGAGAGTAATTTGCAGCAGTATTTCTCAGCTTCTCCCTTGCTGAACTCTATTGTTTTGTTCGCTGATGATCGGGCGTGTCAAGAGGGAGGGGTTTGGCAGAGCGCCTACCCGCTTTTTCTCTTTTTCTTCAAGTTCCGAGACTAGTATATCCTATTGTACGTATCAGTCGTCAATTGTTGTCGCCTACCCGCTTCTATAATTGGTCAAGAACGGGCTGGGCGACGCGCTAAACCCAGCCTCGCTGACGCGCACATTTATCCACAGCGAACAACCGTCGTAAATTTGACATCAATGCGGACCTTAGTCAATAGCAAACTTCTATATCGAATAGGAAAGAATCACGAACGTTGTGATTCTGACTTGATGTCCGCATGTGACGGGAAGGTGGTAAACCTCACCTTTGAGGGCGACCGTCACGGCGATAAATCAGGCCGTTGAATAAAATGTTCTAGGTAAAAATCTCGAGAGGCTCATACAGTCCTCATCATTGCGGACCGGTGGGGCGTGTCAGTGCGGCTGCGTTTGGCGCGGTGCCAAAGTCGTTCTGCACCAGTTGTTGAAGCGGGCAAGTGACATTACTGTATTATATCCTTCGTATTACTCGTTTTCTACCACTTTTTGTCGCATACGCGTTTCAACAAAAAGGCTGAGAACGGCTTCAACAGTGTGCACACTCATACTGGCTGACACGCCCCACCGGTCCGCAATGATGAGGACTGTAAAACTAACAGAATTTACTACATTGATTGCGAAAAGCAATACAATCAGTGTGGAAGAAGTTAGAACCGATATAGCTTTTCTTCGGTTTGGAAACGAACCCTACGAATGTCAGATGTTGGTAACGAAGCTCAAAAATGAAAACGGTGTATTGACTTGACAATGAAGTAAAGCGAATCAACAGACTGAATACGCGGAGCAAGGTCCTGGATGTCCAAAGGTGACTAAACGAGTTCTCTCTTATCATGCCTAGCAAACATACTGCCGCCTTGGAAAAACAAGAAAGAAGTAGCATAGAAGTTAAACCTCTAACATGAACCACAGGGCACAGTTGGGGATTTTACTCGAGTCTGTACGACCCCCCCCTATTTTGGGGGGGGGGTGGTTTACCCTTTCCTCCACAACAATGGACCAAGTACACCCCCCCCCTTTACAACGTCCACCGTGAAGAACGGAGAAAACATCAGCATCAATAATAAATTTTTCCCAGTCAGAGCTACGACTCCCCTCTTCCTGGCGCGCCAAATACGAACCCCCCCCTGATTCACCTAACAACGATTGTGACTGACGTGATATGAGATTTCTGGTCCGCTAACGACCCCCCCCCCTTTTTTTGGGAGTTGGTACGACCCCCCCCCCCAGCCCTCTGTCCTTCCTCATCGAATCGAGCCGTCGAGCGGGGGGGGGGGGGCATATAGTACGTGAAACAGGAAAATCACCAAAAGTCAACCGCCACTCCCACAACGCCAAAACGTAAATACGACCCCCCTCCCAAAAATGATCAAATACGACCCCCCCTCCTTTACAACGTTCATGAAGCGAGAAAAATAACCATCAAAATAAATTTCATTAGCCAAATACACCCCCTGTTGGATCCCCAACAACGATGTGCCCTGTATCTTGAAACTTCTGGTGGAAAACCGCTACTACCGTAGTACAACGTACAATTGCACCAGTAAATTTGCATCATTGGTGAACTAAAACAGCGTCGAATTGCATGCTACCTCATGAAGAAGATTGCGTTACACAACATGTGCCTTGTTCAAAAAACGGCGTTCTGGGCAAGTAAACATAAGACCTTGCGATTTCGCGTAAAAAGCGTGGCTTGGAATACGAGGCTACGGGCTGGTCCCTTCCAGAATGAATGGCGCCTGTGCTTTTTCGGCATGCCCACTACATATTTCGTCACCCCTGGGTGAGGCGACTAGGCGCCTCGCTTGCTAGTTTTCAGCACTAAACAAGTAGATGCTGCGTCCAGAGACTTTGTGGAAACGTGGAAACAGCCACTGCTTGCACCGCTGCACGTCGACTTGAGCAGCCATGGAAAAGCGGCCCTGAACTTATGTATTCCAGAGGGCCATGTTCTACCTACTTATCAATTAACATCTAGGAAGTCATATGCAGACCCCGACAACCGAAGAATCGAGGTTGTGGGACGTATCTTCCACTATCAAGGAATACGAGCTCCCTATGGCACCAAATATTTTTTGTAGCTTTTGTAGATTATCGGCGTAATTTTGGAATGTTGGGGGGAGGTGGTGTAGTACGAAGTGGTCCGTTTAGCGCGCGCAAGCTGCGAGGGCCAGATTTCGGATCCGCTTCCGCCGAGATCACCCAACCATTCTTCCTCCGGGAATGGTCAGTTGGTTTCAGATTCGTCTGAGAGCTGCATCTTGGAGAGATTTGGTCAACGGCAGAGACTTTTCTAAGCTTTTGTTTTTTCTCTGATGGGATAGTTTTACCTAGTGGCTTCGCCTGTTCTCATGTGATGAGTATATTAGAATTTCAGGCGGCTTCCGATATATCCGAGCATGTCGTCGCGCGAATTCGGGCTCTTGGTGAGAACGGATCGCCCGAATCTCTCCGAAAATTGGAGGAGCAACTCGAAAAGTGTTTCGACTTGTTCCCTCTTCCTCAGTTCCGAAATATCGTGCTTGAAAACTTGAAACAGTTGCCAAAACTCCAAGACCGGTTAGTTCCATGCTTTCCATTATAGGAAGTTATGCCATGAAACCGATTTTTATTTTTTTTGCTTCTTGTGTTGTTTGAAAGTGATCTCTTAGTATTTTACGGTTCAGATATCTTGACAGTATTATGAATGATCGTGATTTTTATGACGCATGCCCACTTTCTGTGAAACAGCAAATTTGGCTGCGAAATCTTGACTTGTTCAAGGAGGCGTATAAGCCGTCTATAGATTCGTACCTAAAGTGGGTGGAGACTATTCTTTTCCGATATTGCCTGCCAATTCCCAAATATTCCTTATCTAAACGTTTCAGACGGAAGGAAGATTTTTTGTTATCCACTGAGCCAATGGCTACCAACTTTTTCACATTTGAAACTACAAAAGCACGTCGTCAATGGAAAGAGATCAAAGGTTTGAGATTCACAATTTTACCGGCGCAATCTCTCGTGCTTACACAAGCCGTTCCAGATCTCATTATGTTTGTTGGTAATCATGAGGAATTATTCTTGGCCGTGATGACATATATTAGGGAGTTATTTGCGTCTACAGGTGACGCCATGCTCTGCTCGTTGAGGTTAGTTTGATATATTCAATTAGTAGTATGATTGTAAAGCATATATCTGGCCACTCGGGCTTTCCATCGGAAGAACTTTCTGTGTTGACTACTAAGTTTGAAGTTAGATTCCAGTACGTTCTTCTGTTTTTAAACTTTTTTTGTTGATCGATTATTAGCTGAGGTTGCGGGGCAAAAGGGTGCTCAAGCATCAGCGTTGTCATCCCCAGGGTACGTTGTGCCCATGTTGGAAATATTTTGAAACTTTTGCGCCCCCCGCACCCTGCAATACTTTCCTCCTCTGGTCTAACCCTTCTTCGTTCCACCCACCATCTTCCCTGAATGTTCGCCAAGCTTCTCACACATTTTTCAGAGCTTTCGACCAATAATTTCATCCACTTTGAGAAGTTGCCGTCGTGCGGAGGCGGGAGATACATAGCGCACCTCGAAAGGGGGAAAAAGGAATAGTAACAAGCGGAATCACTTTTCCAAAAGGAAGCTAGCACGTTCCTCCTTCCCTTCCAGCAACCAGATATGATTCTCCTCGCTGGCATCCCCAACGCCGCTGAATACGCCTGGATGTTAGGAGGGTCAGGCTGGCGGCGCAAATTAACTGTGGATGTATACAGTTCATACTTCGTGGGTGGTTGCCTGCGCACGGACCGCTACCTCTACGCTGCCCGCTGGCTTTGCGATGGCCGTTGCAGCAGTCCAAGACCGCCCTCGTAGTTTCCGCCCACTGTGGAATGTGAATGTGTGAGTGTCCATCTGAGGAACTGGAAGCATAAGAGACTAAGAAAATCAATCTGTTTCCTCCTTCTGCTTTATTTTCTCTTGATAACCCAGTTCATAAAATCGATGCATCTAATTTTTTGGTTGCGCGCTCTCCTATTTTCCGGACCTATTCTATTCTAGCTGCTGCTCTTTATTCTGCCATGTTGCTAGGTTTTTACGGCGCCTCAACCTGTGGGCTGTTGACGTAGACGCGGTGTACGGTCGCAGTTGTTCGAACTTGCGCGAATCTAATGATCAAGGCGCGAAACTTACACACAAACTATGCATCCCCTCTTTGCTGCCAGGTGTGTCGATCTACGCCTCCCCTTTTCAAACTCAGGCTCAAGAGGCTTCAAAGCATCGTAGTGTGGCCACTCCTCTCGTCTGCTTTCGAGTAGAGCCACATAGCGTCTCTTTATGTACATCATCTACTTTTTTCAGATAATGAACTAATCATTGGCCGCCTCACTTGATGCCAGCATTGAAGCACAGTCAAAGCAGGCTATACTTTGACAACCTACCTGCACCCCGCTTTATTCTCCGCAGGGCGTAGCCTGCGCGTATTATGTTTGAGGCATGGTGGGGGCGCGGGGCGTGGGATGGTTTCTCGTGGATATTTCTAGTTTTGCAGATAATCGTTCATCCTATCACCGTGCCGAACAAAGACATGATTACAATTGTCTCACTAGAGACGCAGCTGCCGCCGCGTTCAGATGAACTACGCAGCCACGCCCATCCTCATCTCTGGGATATATGTGTGTCCATCGTTTACTATTTAGATTCTTGCCACGACTTCGCATGGGTGTTCGGAGCGACATGTATGCGCGCCATAGAACATTTGGAAAGCGCACAAATACACACAGCACTTCGCCACCCATACCTTGACACATTTCCAAAACTATCCTCAACCCTGAAGTTGAGTCTGTTTGAAAGATAGCTTTCTTTCGCTGTGTGGTTACTGATTCAACTTTCATTTTTCTAGAGAGCAGTTGATTTGGCTATGGTAGCTGGCGACGTTCACGTGATTCATTTTCTTTGTTCAGTAACAATAAGGAAGTTGCGGGATTCTGTAGGTTTTCGTGTTTTCATTGCAAGACTGGCTGTACGCAGCGTTTACATTTTGTGTACACGCTCTTGTGAATTTTCGTTAGCGGGAGAGGGGGGTCAGGAGGCAGGAGTAGGTCACGATGACTGTGGTCTGCCTTGGGAAGTTGAGCCTGGCAAATGGCCGGGACCACTGTTTCTAAAAGAGGGCGTAGAAGAGTGGACGTTAACGCGTCGCTGAGTCCCTACTCCCGTGCTTCCACAGATCCGGGAAAACATACTGTTTCCACATGACCTTGCCTTCCGGCCGTTGGGATTGAATATCGCTTTTCTCTCCCCATTGCTTCGAATCTTCTTCACACTCAAAAGCCGAAGGCATAGTTCAGAAGACGTTCTGCAGTATTTTCAGGCAGGAGCTCACATGCCGCGTGATATGCACTCAGTTGTCGTACTTGTGCGTGTGTTGTCTTTGGGATGTTGCGCTAAGGTTTGTGTTTCTTCATAACTCTCTTTTTTGGATATCTTACTTCAGTTGAAAACAAATTTCGCGATAACCCCAGGGTGGCATCTCTTCCTTGTTGTAGAAGCGCGGATCTGCAGCCGGTTAGGGTGTGCCCTGTTCACCTATAGAAAAGTCGGGCAAGAGGTGTTCGCAGTCACCAGAAAGCCTTTTGGAAATAATTTGCGAATTTTTCGCCATCATGTGTGCAGCTGTGCGACTCTCGCCTGTGTTTGTCTTGTCTCTCGTAGAGCGTCTGTGCGTCTCTGTTCACTGCAGTGCTTACAGTGCCCACAATTGGTGCCTTCATTTGGGCCTTTTTGACGCGGTTTGTTCTGCTCAGAGCAAGGCGTGGTTCGAGGAGTCCTTGAAGAGGGGTTCGTATCTCCTATAGAGGAGACAGGTCGTATTAGACGTGATTGGAATCTTTTTTTCGTTATTCTTCTCCCCCTATACGATAGGTCAGTAACTTCACTATTTCTAATATCTGATTGTGAGTGTTTTTCCTCTTCTAGCTCGAGGGGTGGGCCTCGCATTGGGTCATATTCGGTGGAGGAATATAAGGGTGATAGCATCTAGGGAAAAATCCCCCTTGACGCCATTATTATCCTTGCCTCTGTCCCCTCCTTCAATTGGTGAGTCCGTCACCTACAAATCCATGTTAGAACCAGTAGATCTAAATTCCTTCAGTTCAGTTTGCGTAATTTCTTTTTTGCAGGATCTTGCCTTGGGCAAAGTACTTCCAACCGAGGTTGTGGATTCTATTTTCATTACCAAGTTTCTCCCAGAATTCACTTCTTTGATGGTGGAAGACTGCATCAGAGCAGAGCTCATGCGCACGAACAGTGAGTTCTACTGCTATCTTGTTTTACTGCTATTATGCCAACATGATGAGAACTCTAGAGGTATACTTGTTTCAGGTGATCTTGGAGAAGAATATGTCGTTGGTAA